AAAGAGCCCAGGGTCATGCAAATAGGAAGTGTCTGAGATGGGCTTAGACCCCAGTCTTCTCTTGACTTCAAGTTCCCTGAGCAGTATTGCCACTGTTGGGCCTGCCCTCTTTGCTTGCTGGTGGGTGTGGATCTCAAATGAGATTCTGTGTACATGCTCAGAAACTGGAGAGCACTCTTTCGAATGTCAGATGTTGTCATCATCATCAACATTATACCTGAATTTGTGTAGGGCCTTTCTCAGAGAGTTTGTGTTTCTTTGGATTTTTCTCCGTGTATCTTTCTCAGTGAGGAAGTTCTCCAGTCACTCTTCTTTCTCTGACTCTCCATGTACCTTTATGATTAAAAAGAGGCCTTGAAAATGAAACATGAGGTTAGGGCTTATTGGTGAATAGATCTTTTTATGTTAACTTAGTTTTCATGTTTGGCCATTTACCTTACAATGGTGTGCAGGAAACAGAGGCCAACCACTTGCTGGAATGAAAGAACCTTAAAGAAGCCTGGAAGAAGTATGTCTTACAGAGTACTCTGTTTATGGAGGTTGAGTTTGGGTAGAATAGTAGGAACAACATTGGATTTGGAGCTAGGAAATTTGGCTTTTAGTTTCTTTCAGCAACTTTTATTTTTTAAGTCTTGAGACTTTTCTCTGCCTCAGTTTTGTCATTGGGAAATGGAATAATACCACCCGTTTCCTTTACTCATAGGGCTATTAAGTTAAATTATGGTGTAGTAGAAAGATCATGGAATTTAGATTCAAGACCAAGGCTAGAATCATGGTACTGCTGTTGTCTCTGTGACCTTGAACAAATCATTTAACTTCTGGGCCTCAGTGTCCTGCCTCATGAAAGGAGGGGTTTGGACTAGGTGATCCCTAAGGTTATTTCTAGCTCTAAATCCTATGATTCTATTCTAGGCCGTAATATTTTTAAAACAATTTATTTAGCCTTTGCAGTAGACAGACCTATATTGTCCTAAACGATTTGCTTCCTTATTAAGAACACTTGACACTATTTAAAAAACAAAACTAAACTTTGGGTTTAGTGGGAGAGTGGATAGGACCTCTAAAGAACCCACTTTATGAATCTATTCAGAGATGATAGTTAGACTAAAGTGACCAGCCCTGCTGTTCACAAGCTCTGTGGTCTTGGTGGAATCACCTTCTTCCTGGCTTTGGTTTCATTTTCAAATGAAGGGGTTGTATTAGAAGTTCTCTAAGGTCCCTTCTAGTTCTGAGATGTGTTCCTTAAATAGAATCTCTGTTTAATGAATTGTACAAACTGTATATAACTATCTAAGGTTTTCAGTCTCTAGGAAGCCTTTTCCTAACCTATTCTACTTCATGTTGATGGTACATTGGCCACTATTTTGTAATTGTGTCACTTGAACATGTTTCATGCACTGGAGTGAGACCAGGGATTATAGTTTAATAATTTACATTTGGTTAGTGTTTTAAAGATTATAAAACAGTCTCTTGACAACTTTACGAGGTATAGCTGGCAAAATATCATTCTCATTTTATTGGTGAGGAAACAGACACAGAAGTTGAATGATTTTTCCCGAAGGAATAAGTGTCTCAATTGGGAATTGTACCCATGTGTCTTGAATCAGTGATTCATTGTTGGCTCATGTACAACCAACTGCATGAAGCACTCAGTTTTGTAGAAGTCAAGGACTGACTAGCTTAATGTGCCCAGGCCCAAATTCTTGTCAGTATAGAAGGGTCAGTTGAGTGTTTCTTTAGATGGATTTAACTACGGTGGGGGCTGTGAGGGCCCTTACAGAATTCCTGGCTTAGGCAAAACTAGACCATGATGTCAGATAGCTCAGGGCTAGATTGTGGTACTAACCAGCAGTAGAGGAACAATGAGATGGGTGAGGACTAAAATAGCAAAAAGCTTCTTGCAGTACGTGGTACTTTAAAATGGTAGGGTGGAGATGGGACATTTCAGACTGGGGCAGAAACAAAGATGGGATAAACAAGGACTGATTGGAACAGAGAATGCATGTTGACATCTATTGGGAACAGAGTTGGGAGGACCTCTAGCAGGCATTTAGGTCAACTTCCCCCATCTTAAGTAGAAAATTCTCTTTAGGGCTGGCCATCAATTGGGGAATGGCAGAACAACTTGTGTTATATGAATGTAGTGGAATACTCTTATGCTGTAAGAAATGATGAGTAGGCAGATTTAAAAAAAACAAACCAACCTGGAAAGACTTAACATGAACTGAGGCTGAGTAAAGTTGAGCAGAAACAGGAGAACATTGTACACAATAACAGCAACATTGTGTGATGATCAACCATGATTGACTTACCTCTTCTCTTTAGTACAGTGATCCAAGACAATTCCAAAAGACTTATGGTGGAGAGTGCTATCTATATCCAGAGGAAAAACTTATGGAGTCTGAATGCAGATCAAAGCATACTATTTTCACTTTTTTTTGTAGTTTTTCTCTTTTGTTCTGTTTCTTCTTTCACAGTATGACTGATATGGAAATACGTTTTACATGATTACACATATATCACCTATGTCAAATTGCTTACTGTCTTAGAAGAAGGAAGGAGGGGGAAAATTTGCAACTCAAAATCCTATTTTAAAAAATGAATGTTAAAAATTGTCTTTATATGTGATTGGAAAAATAAATAAAATATTTAAACAGTGGGGAAAAAAGAAAAGAAAAGAAAATCCCTTCTGTACCATTCTGGAATGGTGGTCATCTTTGCTTTCCAGTTAAGTGGAGCCAGATTTTAAAGGGCCCTTAAAAAGTCTGTCTCTATAAAGCTGTTTTAGGGCTTGAGTTGATGAAGACTAATATACTGAAAGTTTTTGGTGAGATATCCATTCAGTTTTAACAAGCTGTGGAATCCTTTCTAGGCCTTGCTGGAGAGGACTGGTTACACACTAGATGTAACCACAGGACAGAGAAAATATGGTGGTCCTCCTCCAGATAGTGTGTATTCTGGTGTACAACCTGGCATTGGGACAGAGGTGAGTTTGATGACTTTCTGCTTGGAATCTGTTCTGTAATAGAGATAAGTGAATTAATTTAATATCTTGGCAAATGTCACTTGAGTTTTTTTTTTATTCATTTTAATTTTGCTCTTTGGAAGTATGTAAACATGGAAGACTAGAGTAAATCAAAAAGCCCTAGCAACACAAAAAGTTTCTGAACGAGTTTAGCTCATGACCTAAAACCCCACACTTTAAATTAGAGTATAGATTCTGGACCATGTCCTTGAACTTGGGAAGATACTAACAACACTTTGCAAAGAACTGAGTGGGGACATCTCCCTTCTCCGCTTCTCAACAGTTCTGTATGGCTCCATAGGGAAGCAGCATGGTCCATTGGAATATGATGTGGTCTTGTGGGGCAGGGTCTGGGTTTGAAACCTGGCTCTGCCACAATTGGTAGTTGTGTCATCTTGCGTAAGTCAATTCATTGTAGCATAATAAAAACAGCAAGCCATACATACTACAAAAGTCTTGGAGTCAGAAGACTTGGGTTTGAATTCTGGATCTGACATTTATTAGCTGTTTGAGTGTAGGCAAATCACTCACCTTATCATGACTTGTTTTCTCACCTGTAAAATGAGGTAAAAACCAATACTTGCTCAAAACCGATTTATAACCTTCAAAGCAGCTTATAATTGAGTTGCTGTTTATTTCCCTGAAGAAATGCCCTGAAGTATTTAATCATTAAAGGACAAATTGTGTCTAGCCCGTTGTCTTAAAAAATGTGTTAATATGCTGATAAACTTGGAAAGATTTTTATCAAGGGTTGAAACAAAGGTTTGTGTTATAGTTAAGAGGATATCCTGTTCCCTAGTCATGCCAATTAATTGTATATATAATTTGTAATTTTTTAAAAGAGATTTTTGTTTACAATATGACTGGATTCATATATTTAAGTTAGATTTTTAATTAACTATTTTTTAAAAATTCCTTCAGGTTTTTGTAGGTAAGATACCAAGAGATTTATATGAAGATGAATTGGTACCACTGTTTGAAAAGGCTGGTCCCATTTGGGACTTACGCCTTATGATGGATCCTCTGTCTGGTCAGAATAGAGGGTATGCATTCATCACCTTCTGTGGAAAGGATGCCGCACAGGAAGCCGTCAAACTGGTATGTAAAGGGGCCGTAGTGGCCAAGCTTCACAGTTCAAGGATCCTTTGGAAACAGTTCAAACGATCCACTTCTAATGATCATTAATTTCTATTTTTTCTGGATTGAAAGCTTTAGTGGGTAACCTTTTTGGGGGTGGTGGGCTGTACTTGAGACCACTTGGTTTTAAGAGTTTTGGTTTTTGCTTGTCTGCACTGAGAACAAGACAAGGTCCTCAGCTCAGCTCTGTACTTTTTGGCCAGAGTCTTCTTGGAAGTGAGGGCTTTGCTTTAAAAAATGTTTTACGCCTTCAGTCTTGTGTCTGTTATGTTCTGCTCCTATAACAAGAGATAGCTTTGGCTTCCTTGCTCTTAGGAATATCCTTGGTCCTCCTCTGTTTCTTTTTTACCTTTTTGCCTTGGGGTTGAGGTTGCTATACTTGTTTTGTCCTGCTTCCCGGTCTATCTCCTACTTCTTCCCTATGTTCTCTTGTGCTGCCTTCCAAATAACAACAGTGAGTCAGTGGCAAAATCATTTGAGTTCAGTGTGTCCTAGAGTTGGGAAATAATGTCTTGTTACCTTCTTCTTATGGTGCTACATGGAGTCAGAGGCCTCAGGCTTCCAGGGTGAGGTGTAGATGTCTTCACCACTTTGCTCCTTTTCTCCCTTACAGTTAGCTGACTCACTGAGAGGCTCCAGTTTCCTTCTTTAGTGTTAATGCCTCCTTTCCTAGAGGTTGGTAGCTCAGAGTCATTCCCTTTCTTCTCCCTTTTCCTGTTCCCTTCTCTCCTCTTACACGCTTCCACCCCCTGCTGTCCATATTATCAGGAAATTTAAACCACAGTTAAGTAATCTTGTTGAAATGTGGGTATTAAAAGTTGTAAAAATCATGAGTAGTGTGCTCACTTTGGCAGCACATAGATAAAAATTAAAATACAGAAAAGATTAGCACGGCCCCTCTACAAGGTCAACATACAAATTTGTGAAGCATTTGATATTTTAAAAAAAAATCTTTAGTTTTATGATTTGTTAAACCAGACCCACAAATTTGTGTGCAGGTATTGCATATCATATGCCACTGTGTTTCTAATTGTAGTGTGTTTGGTACAATATTAAAATGACATAGAAATGTTGAATTTTTTAAGAGTTTTTTCATATCTGTTATGTATCATCACCATACTTTTCATATTCTTGAATTTGTTTGGGGGCAAACTGTGCTTGGTTTTATTCTAAGTCTCTTGAATAATTTGCCTCAGTTGACTTGTCTGAAATAATGAGGAAATTTTGAAATAGGCTTAATTTTGTTTAAATGGGGCAACCCCCTCCCCTCCCTAATTTTGAATAGTTGATTTGGAAACAAAAGGAGGGAAGTGACAAAACCAAATGGAATTGGGGGTTGAAAGCATTGAGTTTTTTTAAAAATAATAATAGCATGACAAGCATTTACAGGATATAAGGAATAACTTTGCTCTAATGACTGAAGTCAGCAGTTCTCTAAGTGTGGTCCAAGGGTGGTGGCATGGGGGCCCTCTTAGAAGTCTGAGAGGTGTTAGAACTGTTTTCATAATAACAACATTTAGATATTTTAATTTCTAATATGGTAAATATCAATAAATGTAATCCACATAAACAAAAGCTCTTGGGAGAGTCCTTGATAATATGAAGAGTGTACAGGGGTTCTGAGACCAAAAAGTTTGAGAACTGCTGATGCAAGGAAATGCCTGATTTTATAGAGTAATGAAATACTTTAGAATTAAAATCCAGGATCCTAAGTGTGGGGTGGTTGTGGGTTGTATTTGGGTTTTTTCTTCCTTGCAGTGTGACAGCTATGAAATCCGTCCTGGTAAACACCTTGGAGTATGTATCTCGGTGGCAAACAACAGGCTATTTGTTGGATCGATTCCAAAGAACAAAACCAAGGAAAACATATTGGAAGAATTCAGCAAAGTCACAGGTAAAAAAAAGTATTGTTTATAAATGGATTTGGGGGAATCAGAGTTACTGTTTTAGTGTGCAAGGCCACCTTAGACTCCCAGTGGTGTCAGACTCAGGCCAGGTACATGTTGACTTAGAAAACCACAGATTAACATTATCTATGTTGTATTATATATTTGTTTATGTTGTTAAACATTTGCCAATTATATTTTAATCTGGTTCAGGCCAGCTGGAAGTTTGATATGCCTTAGTTTTTGAAGTCAGAGCTCTACATAAAGTGATAGGTCATGTTTCTTTCTCCTTCCTCTGCTTTTTAAATTATCCCTTTATTTCTGCTCAGCTTTTGACTGATTGGGGTTCAGTTTGGTATTAATAAACATTGGTAGCCTCATTTGTTCATGTTAGCGAGTCACTATGAAGAGGAGGCACTGTTTAGTAAAACTCAACTTGGCTCTATCTTGGTGGGTTTACTGCAGATCAGGACAGAAGGACTAAAGTTACACTGAACTCTGGGGAAACAGCTTCTGAATGTTGGATGCTTTGTGGTCAGGCGTCCTTTGACCGGATGGGAGATGACCTCTCCCTGAGTGAATTAGAGCCTGGAACCTTATGCCAGGGGAGTTATGTTGTGGGACTGGACTGGATTGACTGTGCCCTTCCTGCCCCAATTCTACTTAAAAATACAATGAGCACAATTCCATGTGTCTTTGCTGTGTTTTTAAGATGCTAGAACACATGAATAATTAGCCTAGTTCATTTCTTGCATCCCAGTAAGATTATATCTGTTATGTTTAACGGATGTTAAGTATCTTTAGGGAGGAAGATTCCATGTTCTTCTTTGGTAACTTAGTAAAAATAGCCCAGACTGGTAGATTTTTCTCAATGGCTCACCTGTATTATTGGTGCTGCAACTTAGCCAGAATTTTTCTTCTGTTTTTCAGTCAGAATTAGATTAACTGTTCATCGTTGTCCCTTTGAAGAGCGATACTTTATATATTTGGACACAGGTCATTTAGGCTATGAAATTAAGTCATTTAGGCCAGCACAGTACCCAGCAAATGCTTTTATATGCATTCAGAAGAAGAACTAACAAGCTCAATACTCTAATTTTATTTCTCTTTTCATTTGTGGAGCCATTTCCAGTCCATCATTAAGCCTTTATTAAGCACCTGCAATGTGCCAGATGCTGTGCTGGAGGTAGAAAGACACCAGTGAAACAAGCCCTACCTTTTTTTTTTTTTAAAGGCCCTACTTTTAAGGAGTTTACAATCCAGAATGACAGTATGAAAGTGAATTATTTTTCCCTTTTGTCTTAGAAAATGCAGAAAATTAAGTGACAATTTGCCATGATCATTGTAATTTTGCTTTTTGTTTTCGAGGTCTAGAACGATGTTTGTTGGAACCTCAACCTTGCTTCAATAATATTTCCTAACAAAATGAATTCTTGCTGCTCACTTGGTACTTAGTCTGTGCAAATTGCTTGAGTTCTCTTGGAGACAGGTCTTTTTTTTTACTGCATGATGTATTACCGCATAAGAGGTATTGGAATCCTCCTTATAGAGGAATTTGGTGGTAGAAATTAAGTTCCTAGACTTCCAAGAGCTTTTATGGCTGTTCTAAGTGAAATAGAAGTACTCTAAACAATAGGAAGACAATACCTTTTCATGTCCACACCTTCACCCTCACCTCATTGTTCCTTTTAGTCTCCAGATCTTTGTGTGGAGATACAGTTTAGCAGTTTATTTTTTAATCCAGTTTTGCTTTATTTTTAGTTCCAAAATCTCTGCCTCACTTCACTCTCCCCCACCCATTGAGAAGGCAAGGAAAACAAAATCTGTTACAAATATGGATAGTCAAGAAAAACATTCCCACGTTAGCCATGTTGCTCCCTCTACCCACCCTCCTCCCCTTTAAAAGAAAGAAAAAAATGCACTTCACGCCGCATGCTGACTCCACCAGATCTCTATTTGGACAGGCGATGGATAACATGTTTCCTCATGAGTCCTTTGGAATTGTGGTTGCTTATTGTGTTGATCAGAGTAACTAAGTCTTTTAGAGTTGTTTCGCTTGGTTTAGAGCTGTTGAATGTCATCTTGACATAGCTTTCTCCTCTGGGGAGGGTTAAGGGCTGTCTTCAGAGTAATCTGACTGGTGCAGTGAGGTCCACTGGTTAGGCTTTTGTGGTACTTATGCCTTGGGTGACTTTTAGGAGCTAAGACTATTAAGTAATGGGCTGTGTATAGCAAGAGACTGTCTCCTGAGTACCTCTGCTCCCTCCTTACCTGAGGAATGTGTTCTGTGCTTTGACAGCTTTTTCTTATCCAGGTATAGGAGGCAAAGCAGGCCCAAATAATGATGTAAATTTTATGGTGTTAAAGTTTCTATTGTGACCTTTGATCATTGGTCAGAATGAATTCTGTCTGAAACATCTGTTGATGGACTATGCTCTTAAATATAATGAATGGTTTGGAATTTTAATAGCTAGTATAGAGGTGACTTAAGAAGCAATGAAGTGATGTCAGTTTTCAGCAGCACATTTGGATTGGTGAGGCTCTCTGGTGTATGGCATTACAGGATTTCCTATATCTTGATCTCCTAAGCACTTGTTTCCTCCTCAATTATTAGTATTATCTGTTGGGCTTAGGGGTAGCCCTTTCCCTTTAAGATTGTTTTATTCTAGATGGGCTTTTGGAATTTATTCTTTTTATGTCTTTGTGCTTCTCAAGTGATTTTTGTCTGGTCTCTGCCTGCCATGTTCTGACAGCATCTTCTCAAATCATATACAGTCTTTGATCATCATATTAATTGTTTTGGATTAATTCAGTTTCAGTCCAGTGTTTCCAAGCTGTGCATGGTAATTCAGTCCCTCTTTCTGTATTCTTATTAAACCACATGTAACTATTTCATCTTGTGAGTTGGAGGACTTTTATTTTTGGGTAATTCTTTTCTGTTAAGGTTAACATTTTCCATAGTCTTCTTCTGTTTCTTTTTGTTGTTAATGGTGGGACTTCTGGGGGGAAAGGCATCCGAAAGAGGACTTTGAGGAGCAGCAACAAACAGAGCTACTTTATCAGCAGTGGTCTGCACAGATGAAAGGAGGGCAGGACTGCTGGAGTAAAGGCGTTCCAGCTTGGTGAGCAGTTGAGGCAGAAAATGATGAGGGTAAGCAGAGACAGAAAGGCAAACTAAAGAGACATTGTGGAGAAGGAAGACTTAATTTAGCTGACTCTACATTGTAGACAATAAAGAACAGAGAAGAATTGTGTGATTTCTGTGTTTCTAGCTTGGAGTGTCAGGAAATGGTTTTGTTTTCAAAGTGTAGGCCTTCACTTGATGTGTTAATGATACTATTGAATACAGAATCAGTTCTCACCTTTGGTGGAATCTGTTGGCTTTGACTTCAGGACCCCTTGAGTTAAAAGGGCTGTGTTCAGATTATGACCTTTCTCCTTCATCTCTCTTGGATCAAGAGCTTAATTACTTAATCAGTAATTAGCAGAGCACTTGAGGCTGATTTTTCTTTTTTGGTCATGGGCAAATGGATTTAGAGCATAGGTCAGTTCCCTAGCTGTGTGGTGGATGCTTTTGGCTCATCTCTCTGGATGTTGGTTTAACAGAGGGTTTGGTGGACGTTATTCTCTATCATCAACCCGATGACAAAAAGAAGAATCGGGGGTTCTGCTTCCTTGAGTATGAAGACCACAAGTCGGCAGCACAAGCCCGGCGCAGGCTTATGAGTGGGAAAGTCAAAGTCTGGGGCAATGTTGTGACCGTGGAGTGGGCCGACCCTGTGGAAGAGCCAGATCCGGAGGTTATGGCCAAGGTAAATGTAAAAATTTATATTGATTGTGGTTGAATTCTGCAGACCATGGAATACTTGCATTGTTGTCCCAGGAACACTAGTGAGGGCTTAGTTCTTATTAGCCGCTCGCCCACAGCAGTGCCTTAACCCTCAATGAATTCCCTTGGAGGCTACGAGCTTGGCCATCCCTATGACTGTCAGCAGAGGGGGAGCTGAGATTCTGGGCCTGCCTTATACAGAGAGGTTGAGGAAGCCAAGAAAGAAC